GAGGCCATCATTAATTATTCTCGTATCAGTAACGTATTTTCTGCGATTTTAGAAAAACTGTTCTGTATTACCATTGAATAAAGGATCTATTATTCAATGGTATTTATTTGTTTATTTATTTATATTACCGAACCTTTGCAGTAGACACTACATTTTGACAGACAAGAATTGAAAATTGACGTTTTTTTATGGTGGTCATTGATTGGAAATGGTTGCAAAATGTAAAATTGATCTACTCCAGCAGGTCAACAAATCTGTTATAATTTAGCAAACACAAATTACTTTTGCACATATAGAATATTCAAATATTTGAAACAGTAATCTATATTCAAAATTTCAGCAATGTCGCCAGACAAGCATACAAAAAGTATTCATGGCTGTCGTGGTATTCCATTTATTTTGGAACATGAATCCCAGACATTTGTATATTATTTATATTTGTCTCGTTTTATTTAAAAAACGCCGTATTAAAGTGTAGTTTTATGCGAATCGCTTTAGTCAAAATGGTCTTTGACAAAGAGTTAATCAGTATTCTAATTTAATTTTCAGTATCTATTCAAATTCATGAAAAAGCGACATAATCGTGAAATAAATATATATAGGTAGGTACCTAAAGATTAGTTCTGTACTGGTCTCGACTTAAGAATCCAGATAAGGTCCATTAAAGTGTCCGCCTGAAGCTCAAAGGCTGGCGCGACAGGACGATTTGTGAGAGTTCATTATAAAATAATTAATTTATAAAATAAAAAAGCACCGTGTACTGAATATACGTTCTCTTTATTTATTTTTTTCCGTTTTTTTTTCATTAACAGCATAACTCGATTTGTTGAGTGAGGCTAAACGAAATGGGACGGTTTCAACTACAACCTGCAAATATAATAAACAATTATTTGTAACGCACTTCGGGCATTTACTTATATTTAAAAATTGTGTTTTTGCACTTTGGCGAATAACAATTTTCTTGTTACTGTTTAATTGATACCCAGCATGCAGAGTTACATGTGTTGTTGAAATGAACATGAAATATTTTACGATGTTGTAGGTAGTAGCATTTCTTTCGATTAATACAACTGATGCTAGACAAAATTAAAATTTAAAACTTTTTTGGAAAATTGGATGGGCGATCGATAATCGATTCTATTGATTAATTATAGAAGGTCAATTACTTTAATTGATCGATTATAAATAATCCTTAACCTACAGCTTATGCGTCACGCATCAGCATGTTTTATGCAATTTTTCGTTTAATTGATTTGTCCTCCACCGCGTTCGATGATATACTATGAAATGGAAATGCGTCTACCAATCGATAACATTTTTTAGTGTTTTATAACGGTAGAATTAATTCATTTTTGGATGTTGGTTCATTTAAATAAACGCACGAAACTCGCCTTTAAAGTTCCGTTTCAACGAAAATACCCGCAATCACAATTGGATTTATGATGTCCGAACGAAAGCTACGAGCACGAGATTTTTTGCTGCTTGAACCGTAGTGCAAAAACTATTAATCTGAACAACACAGCGGAAGCCTGAATAATCCAGAACCCAACTCTATTTTTTCTAATGCGATCCCCGTATTCAAGATCGAAATTATCGTAGCTGTTCGGGTGATCGCACTGTTAGTCCAAACAAAATCAAATCAATTCAAAACTCTCTCTAGAGTGACCCCTACCTATTCTATTTAACTAGTTAACATACAAAATTGCTTCCTATTAACGAAAACGGCCATCTTTAATCACTGATAATATATAATATCATATATAATATAGGAATGACCTAATCTTTACGTGCTGCGGTTTGGGGAGATAGCAACGATTAGGAGAAGCACTTTATCTCTTGTTACCTCTACATTCTGTCTCTAGATTTCTGGAACGAGAACATCGTGTATACCTAGAATTGAAATACGTAGCACAAAAATATGATTCTGGAAACTAAGACCTCTACCCAACTCTAAATTTACTCAAATTTTGAAATGATCCAGCTTATTATTCAGCTACCCTGCTCACTCTCCGCTACAACAATGCGCACCCCTAAAAATGTCTGAAGTTCTAACTTCATAAAAATTCGAAAAATAAATCTAAATTGCCATTACATAATCGAGAACGTTTCTTACTTTCAGAGAAATTGTGTGCTAATACGGTAGCGAAGTGTGAAACAAACGCGCTAATTAAGATTTTGGGGAATTGGACCGGGATAACTTGCGAATTAGAAACTATTACTGCAAATAGGAACCATAGTTGTTATCTTCCTTAGCCAATATTCCGTAGAAACCTCGGATTACCGCAAGATCTTAATGTGGACTGAAGATATAATGCAATATTGATGCGCGATCGTGAAAAATTCAATTTGTTAGCATTAACTCTCTCTCTTTTTTTAGTTAGTGGCGGGCTACCTGAAAATGAAAACACCCCTTTCGAAACCACCCTATTATCTTGCATCATACACTATTCATTTCAGACTTGCAAAAATATAATAATCCAACTAAAGGTAAGTTCCCGACGAACAAAAACCATTGACTTCTTGAAAAGTTTATAATTCCGTCTTACGTAAAAAGGCGTTTGTGACGTGAAAAACGATCATAAGACAGAAATGACATTAAAAAGCTGAAGTACCAATTAACCATATTTATAAATATAGCAATTTTGTTCTAATTTATAATTGGCTTTGCGTCGGCAAGTTTGAAATACCTCTAAAGTGGACAGCCTGTTTTTAATAGTTGTTTTTGCATTTAATAAAAAATGGAATAGTGACAGTCTAACTGGACTTCTCATGCAGACTGCCACTCTCGCATTAAAAAAAGGAATAAATACAGGATTTTGCGATCTTTGAAACTGTCAAGTTTGATTAACCATTAAGAGGGAAATTGTATACCTAAACGCTTCTCAAAAATAAAGTTACTGAAAAAAATTTCGGGATCTCAATATCCGTAAGCCGAGTAAATTAATTGTAAGTGAAGTGCACGAATAATTTGCACTGGCGATGAGTAAATGTCCCATGTGGGTTTTAACTAACGGATCATTTATATTCCTTACTTTAATGTATTGTCTTATATTTAAAGTACGTTTATTGACAAGGCCGTAAATATTCCGCACAAAATGGCGTGTAGGTAATGGTAATGTAAGGCTAGTGTCAATTACGCGAGTTTTAAGCAGGGGCGGACGTGTGGTACGCCATAATTCAGAAAATTTTCTCAACCGCCAGTGATTGTTCGTCCATTCAGCTTTTATAAAATCAACTTCGTATTTTAATAAATTTACGGGGGTAGTTTATTAAGTATTTTTGTGGTTCTTCTCTCTACTTTAATTAGTAGGTACTCTAATTGTTACGCATCACCTCATAGATTATGACTATTTCAAAGAGGAGTCGCGGTCAATTTGAGACCCGAACAGAATCTTCTTAGCTTAGGCCTCCAATTATTTGCACCAAAAGAATCCAAAGAATGAATTAACAAATTAATTAATTCATTCTGGGTACAAAATGGAATAATTTAACATGAGCACGTAATTTGGGCTCGATTAAACACAAAACTAACCATTTACAGCTGAAGCAAATTTATTCGACATAAATCGATCAAATAAGCTGAAAGAAAACTAGGCGCTCAGGGCCGGATAACACATGTACTATGCAACAAGCGATCGATTAAACAAGTTAAATTTAAATTAAAGTTTTAATTATCGTAAGTGAAGTAGTCCTTATCATCTTGTTATAATTGCGCAATTCAACAAACAGACGCACTAACAAATAATACAAAAACCAAGCGAATGATGCTTCGGAACTTTGTCTTCACATAAAACTCGATTTAGACGACACTGACTTCGTTGTAATTACAATTATAGTGCCCTTGGAAAAACTCCCTTTAACTGGATAACGTGAAGATCTTAAAGAAAGGCTTCTCTTCAGCAACAAACGCTCAATAACCACGGCACTGCAACTAAACATCTTCTTGAACGCCTCCGCTTAACTCGACTTAACTTTCACTTTGGTCACGACGTAAAGAAAATTCTTTAAACAATCTAGCTTTCTTCTACACAACTGCAATTAAACAAGATAGACTGCCCTTTCAAATACCTACAGCAATACATCAAAACAAACGGCTACGTTTCAAACGTCCACCATTTAACATCCTCCTCCACAATTTAAAACAATTTCCCTTTCTTTTCAACTTCCCCCAGTCGCCTCCACTGTCATAACAAATTAATGCATTGTTGAACGATAAACCGCACGTGTGTTTTCTTATCTTACAACTAATCTTACACCATAACAAAACTTATTATCTACGACCGGAGATAAACCATTTACAAATCCAATGCAATTATTTCCAGATGTTTAAATCTAGACTTTTAACACGTAATAAAATTGACCAATAATATTTGATTATTTAAACAATTAATAATTCGGATACAAAACATTGTATGTAAATTGCCCTCGAATTCAACTAAATATGATCGAATCTTGTGTCCAAATTACAACCGACTTTCAACATTAAAAATAGTTGAAATGCACATACAGGGTGTTGCATCGTTATTTATTTATTTATTTATTGTCCCTCTGGTTCTAGGCCCTCAACAGGCTTACGCCCAATTACAGAGTGACCCTCATAACGCTTTTTAGAGGTGAGGTAGAGGTTATTGCAGATGCCGAAGCCAAATAAAACGTCCGCTTGGCGTAGTTGACAAGTAAATTTAACTATCTATATATTTTCTAAAGTGAAATTTTTAGGAGTTGTTTAGGTATTGTCCAGGCCTTACCTATAAATATGTAACAACTGGTCAAAACATTTATACAAGGTGCTCAATAATTTATTCAAATTAATGTTTCTTCATCGATGGAATCTACACTGAAAACTAAAGACGGTTTGTAATCAGAGACATTGGAGTGGTGGGAGATGGCGTATCAAGGTGCGCGAAGAGGCTAATCAAGCAGCCGCCATTTTTATACACTTTGGAAGCGCGAAATTCAAATTTCAATCAACACATTCTGGGATAAATAAAACTAATGGCTCATAATAACATATTATTTATTGGTGATTGAATAAAATTAATTTAGTGAGCTGTTGCCGCACTAGAGGCCCAGACATTTTTTGTGTATATCTGCGACCTAAACTGAAAATTCGTATTTTTAAATAATTTTTTATTATTAATTTAATAAGCAGGAATTTGTGATTTTCTTCACTGAAGGCGAAGCATGAAAAATGGTGGTCCAATTCTTCAAACAAGTTATACTCATATGTTTTTTGAGCGACAGCAACCATGAAAGTGGCTATCCGAAATCATGTTATTCTCTTTTAAGCTCTTAATTATTGCCTGAAGCGAAGTGACTTTCTTGTTCAAATTTTTTATTTGTTTCTTAGCTTTATAAAGCTTTCTGCGGGATTTTAGTTGTTGTTCTCTCAAGTTTCGGAATTTTTCATTCAGTATTCCAGGCGTAATGCTATAATAATTGGAATAAGAAACTTGAATAATCTCAAAGTAATCTAATATAGTAATTTATTTATCAAGGACGAAAAGTGAATTTTCAAAGTACGAACAAGTTGAAATGGCTAGTGAGTACTTTTAAAAACACTTTTCGTTCGCGGTAAATACAAAATTTTATTTCATCCTGTAAAATTAATAAGAAAAATGATATTTCAATTTTGTGCAAATTATTCGTAATAATTAAGTAAGCGGTAACCAATGTCACATTTCCTTAGCGATGAAAAAAAAAGTAATTAAAGTCAACATTAAAATACTAGGACTTTAATAATCAACATTAAAGTACTAGAACTTTAAAGATGTCCTTTTTGTACTATAAATAGTCCAAAAAAATTAATTTTTGAACCCAGGATGAAATAAAACATGTTCTTTTTTCGAGGTTCTTGGGAGAACTCTCCAAAAATTGTGATCAAGGTGTCAATGAGTAATTGAATTCAGAATTTCTGAAAAAAACACAAGTTGTAGTCAGTTTCATCAAAATGGCAATAAATCCCTGCTTATTAGGCTATAGAACAAAACCCAGTTGGAAAAATAATCCGCATTTTAAACTCAATATGAAAAAATAATTTCAAAATATTCGGAAGTCCCTCCTCTTGAATTATATTCTAACCACATTTGGAATTCCACAATAATTCCGAAACAATTCGCTATAATGTAGTCCCCCTTTTTTCTTTACTAATAGTTTGGATCTTTTTTCCAAAAAGTTAAGATCCTGAATTAAACGACACCCCGATCATAATTTTCGTAAAGTTTTATAGAAATAATACATGTTAACTAAGCTAAAGCACTTACTTATATGAATGATCTCTTTGAACAATTAAAATTTTACGTCTTCTTTTCCTACTAGCGTTAGAACTGCTACCGGTTGACGATGAGAATCTATTTATTCTACGATAAAATTAAAAATACATCTATTAATAATAAACTTTCGCGCTATTCGACATACTTACTCGGAAATTTGCCCAACTCCAGAAGTCGATGCCCTCGAAGAATCAATTGAAAATTGCAAGGTATTCGAAGACGAAAGGCCTTCTTTCTCTCTTCGTGAAGGTGTTGATGATAAACGTAATGATGGAACAGCGGAGGGAACCAAGTATTTTTTACCATTTTTTATAATAAAACAGTTTCTTTCGAAATGTTTGGAGCCAATTAGTTTATACTTGGTGGATTCCAAGTCTAATAAATTATCTTTGCCCAAAATATGGAGCCATTGTTCGAGCTTGCCGGAGTCTCGAGGTAACCTAAAATCAAATGAAATAAACTAATACAATTACTAACAAGTATTGAAGAATTGGAAAGTTACGTCATTTCTCAATTATTAACTATGTGATTACCAAGTAAACGGTAAGGTTTTGAGTCAAAAAATCCGATTTTAAGCACGTGTTTCTTACCTGTGGAACGTTACACCTTCTGGCTTGAAACGCCGAATATTTTTGCAGCTTTCCACTGTACAAGTCATTTCTAAACACTTTAGAGAGCACCAGCACTCGACACTGTGAACTACGAAAGAATAAAGCCGAAATAAACGAAATTTTCCGGGAATTATTTTGAGGTTAAGTTGCTCTTGAACGTCAAATTTCAAATCACACGGAGAAACTGACAGAAACAGTGTAAAAATGGCGGCTTCAGTTGCGTCTCCCAAATTATTGGATGCGCACTTGTCGTTCCTCCATCTCCCACCACTCCAATGTCTCTGTTTGTAATTCCATTCCTATATCTAAAATGACCAGTTTTTGTAGAAATGAAAATGTGTGCATATATTATAAATGTTTAATTATTAGTTTGCGTTTGTTTAAGAAACCCCGAACACATATGTATAACATTTCAACATGGATAGTGTAACGGGTGGCCGCTTTAGCCGTTTTTTGTTAAAGTAATTTTTCGAATTTATATTTTGGTAAGTATACGAGGATTTACACATATACAGCTTTGTAGCGAAGAGAAATAAAAGTATGTCTGGAAACAAAAGGCGATGAATTTTCAAAAAAAGATATCTGGGGAGGATGAAAGAGGCGTGTATGCGGGAGGATGAGATAAGGTTGAACTTTAAAAAAAAGCAAGCACGTACTCCTTGAGTGCGAAAAGGGTGGTTATTCTGCGTATTGGCGAAAAGTTAGTGATTAAAATTCAAGAGTCGCCAGAGAGACGAGGTAAATTCGATCTCCGTTTGGAGAAAATTTAATCAAGTAACAGAAAAGTGTTCCCGAGTTTTATTTTGAGTGGGAAATTCCAATTAAGAACGCCGCTGCTACTTATTCAACCGCGTATTTAAGAACGCACCTTTAAGGCGCCTATGAACTGAATCTGAAATGACCTATAAAAGGACAAAATAGTTTATAAAGGATACGGTTTTACAGTTGCTTTGGAAATTAGGTCGATGTTGGATATTGTAGGAAATATAGTACACATTAATCCTACGGATTTTTATTTTCGATATTTATCATATTTTTTGAAATAATTAGAGTCGTTGATAAAACGAATTTAAAGGATAACTGGAGTTCTATTTTCGCGATGAACATGGTTGTTGGCGATTTATAATCTGCTAATAAAGCACTTTAATCCTACGGATAGCAATTTTTTTCATCTTTTATAGAAAAGCGACAAATTGGTAAAAAGATTTGGGTGACGTCACGAATTTTTCAGTGATTTAAATCGAAGTTAGGCAGCTTAGATTGCACCTCATACCTTCCGGCGAAATTGACTGTTGCTTTTGTACCTCGCTAATTATATGGTAATTAGATGATTAAATATGCATTATGACACAAATAAAGGGGAAATTCCTTTAAATATACACCTTTTTACCATCTTGTCGAGTTTCTTGTGGCTTATACTTTCATTGCGGGTATCTATAACTTTTTATTTTTTCCGCTGTTTTTTAATCCTACTGACCCCTCGTTCGCACGGCACATATGTACGGCAAAATGACCGAAACGTAATTTTGACCGAATGGAACGCAGTATAATCTGCTAACAAAGTCCACTATTCGTACGGATAGCTATTTTTTCATCTTTTATAGAAAAGGTCCAACTTTGAAAAAAGATTTGGGTGATTTAATCACTTTCGCAGTTCCTTTTATCAATAGCGGTTCCGCTTTAACACTTTTTAGACTTTCTATGAAAATTAAATTCATTTTAGGCACGTAAATAACAAATAGGTAATTTGATCAATAATGATCATAGTAAATACCGAGCAACGAATTTATTGCGATAAATCTTTATTTTGAATATAAAACATGCAGGGATACGTCTCACAACAACAGTGGAGGGACTCATAAGTATCAGGAAAAGATGATTTTAAAAAATAGACAAAGAAATGTTATACTTTTATATACAATATACAAATATTTACAATAAGAAAAGATACTTTATTAAATAATTAATGCATAGTGTTGCACCTCCCCCTCAACTCATGTAAATTGTTCTCAGGTCTTGTCCTCTACTTCTTCGTGGATCTACCAATTCCGGGAGTGTACGAAATTCTCACGGGACTACTTAATACTAATTACTATACTAAATTTTATTTTGCATTTTTGGATATTACAATTAAATTATGTGAATAGTAAGTTAGAATGTTATTATTCTGACATTGCAAAATAAAAACCTAATACGTTATGCGGGACAGTATGTTTACTCTGGCTTTCCTGCGGCCGACATTCCATAGTAACGGATACCCCATTACGCAATCATAATTATTATCTATCGACTATATTTACTGTGTCCTATTTTTTAAATACGTTTATCTCTGAGATACAGCGTGGAAACGAAAAGTTTGATTTTTTGACACGTGATCATATGTTACTACCCATGTAATATAAATTTTAGATCTTTTTGCGTAGAATCCTGTGGCGTAATCAATTGGACCACCGTTTCTGAGATTTGACCCAAAATAGGTATCTTTTAAATGGAACGCCCTATATCTATAACATAATTTTTTTTTCATTCTTTATCCTGATTACAATTATGTATCAGCATTATTGACTGGTATTAATAGTTTGCCTTAGTTACCATGGATATAATAAAAAAACCATAATCTCTATTTAATCTGCTATTTGTATTTCAAACAGTAAAAACTTACGTTTTTATTCATTTTCATGGGTAAAATTGAAAAATTTATATAGGTTGTGTAATTAGGACAAAGAAAGCAAACAACTGATTTTATGAAACATACGGTGTTTAAAAAACACCAACTTCGGATCAAATCTCAGAGTGGTCCAAAACTTTTTTTACTAGTCCACTAGATTCTACGTAAAAATATCTAAAACTGATAGTTATTACCTTTCTTCTATTTTGCATGGGTAGCAAGCAGAGTTGGACTGGGTCACCTGGGTCACTAAATTAAACTGGGTCACTGGGTCGCTGGGTCACGTCATACTCTTTTCAGTTAGACCCAGTGACCCAGTTGACCCAGTGACCCAGTTTGACCCAGTGACCCAACTTGACCCAGTTTGACCCAGTGACCCAACTTGACCCAGTTTGACCCAGTGACCCAGTTTGACCCAGCGAAATTTCACCCGGGGACCCAATTCGACCCAGTCACCTAGTTTGATTGAATAACGCAGTTAAGTCAGTGCCCTCGGTTCAAGTGTACAGATTATGCAATAAATGAAATGCTGGTTTGTTGAAAATAATACTCGATTGCTTGACAACTGCCATTTCTGTGATGTTTGCTTTAATACTGCCGTAAAAAACTTTCCATGTCCCGAATTGTATTAGAATAATGTTATTTCTTTGCTTCAGGGCTTTCCAGTTTGCTTACAGGTGTTCATTCACATTTAATTTTTTTCTACTAGTTAGCTTAATCCAAATAAATCTTTTCTCTAAATACTTTCATTGACTACTTGACTACAAACTATAAACAAATGCATTTGATTTTTTTAGGTATTAGTTCTCTTGAATGAAATTGGGCTACGTGCTTGTTGCCGAATATTATTGAGGAAGTTTTTTTTTTAAATTAAAAGTTACTTGAAATTGTTTTGGATGATACCATTGAATAAAAATAGTGTTTTTATTCAATGATGATACCTAACAATAATTTAATTACTGGGCTACCGGGTCAGGACGGGTCACTGAGTAAAGCTGGGTCAAGATGGGTCACTGGGTCAAGCTGGGTCACCGGGTCAAGCTGGGTCACCGGGTCAAACTGGGTCAAGCTGGGTCACCGGATCAAGCTGGGTCACTGGGTCAAACTGGGTCACCGGGTCAAGCTGGGTCACTGGGTCAAACTGGGTCACCGGGTCAAGCTGGGTCACCGGGTCAAACTGGGTCACCGGGTCAACTGGGTCACCGGGTCACCGGGTCACTGGGTCACCGGGTCAGTAAACTAACTGGGTCACCGGGTCACTGGGTCACTCTATGCTTGACCCAGTCCAACTCTGGTAGCAAGATATGATAACATCACAAAACCTAAAACGTTTCGCTTTCCTCCTGTATATCAACAAACGTAACTAGATTGATTCGGTTGGTTTCTGGTGTCTCAATCTAAATTGGACACCGACCAAATTTTCATATATTTTATAATTATGAGGTACCTAACCATCGGCCTCATTTACAATCGCCGGTAATAATAGTGCACCATATGCAAAATAATATTGCTTTAGAGAAAAATATCCATACTTGAAAAACTCAAAATCCTTTGAATAAACACTAAACAGGAAAATACGTAAACTAATAGTATTTTAATTACCATGCAATAAATAAACAAGATGAATTTATTAATATCAATAGAAAAGCTCATTAGGCAAGTGTTATTAGGCTCCTTGCATTTATAATTAAATCCATTGAAAGGTTATAAATAAAGAGACACCAAATAGACTGGGACAAATTCAATCATCTCTTTCTACTTGTAACATGCTCTTTTGAAGAGGTTAGGCAACTTTACACACTCCGTTTAGCACAACAAATTTACTTCAGAGGCGCCTTAAGAAACGGTTCGTAATTAAAATTTGTAAGTTAGCGGGGTTTGTAGTAACGTCATATTTTACGAATGATAAAACGAGGGAACATTTTCTGATTGGAAACGCGCTCTTCACATACAAAAGGGAAAAATCCTGTATTGTATTTTATTAATTGATTTGATAAGAATCAGATCCAAGCAAAAGATTTTGGATATTTTGTTTCAGTGATTCGGAATTTTGGTTACATTACCATTCCTTTGGTTTGACTGATATTTTGTTTAGCAATGAGAATGAGTTGTATATTTTCACAGAAGAATGTACAATATTGTACAATGTACCAATAATTTGTTATATGGTAAAAGTAAAATTTCTAAATAAGAACCAAATTTAGCAGGACCACGTGATCACGCATGCGTCAAGATTCTGCTTGTTTGAAGTGCCAGAGCTATAAGCTACCGAATGCAATAAGAACGAACTTAATATTTTGAAAACTGTAGTTAAGGCCTCGGACGGACGGGCAGACGAAGAAAGTCACCATAATAGCGTCTCTCAACATGAGTTGGAAAATGCGTTAAAAATACTAACCCATATTCATAGTACCTCTACCTATCTTTCTTAATTACTTGCGTCAATAAGGTAATCTCCTATAATGAGTAAACGAGAGGGTAAGTTCTAAAACTTGGTTGATACGTTAGGTACCTACCTACGTTTGGAAGATCCTTTGTACCCTGTAATGATGATGTTTTGTTTGGTCATAAGGGAGAATATGTCCTAACAATACCAC